TATAGGCAGCTATTTTAACCATCTAATCACATGACTCTTCCCACCAAGGACAAGTGATATTGAACAGACCAAGCTTTTCCCCCTAAACGTTTTTTTTTTTTTTTAAACTGAGAACCTAACACTTTTTTTCCCCTTTAGATCCTTAAAGTTATTCACAGTCCTTGATCAACTCTCTTCTTTTAATACAAAAAGAAGATACTGGAAATAAAGCTTTTTCCTTCCTGTACATGCTTTACTCTATTTGCTTGTACTCTACAATCAATGCTTACCTCAAATTTTCTCTCTTAGAAAAATCCATCCTTTTGCCTTTCATAAAAATCAACACTTTGTTTTTTCATCGCTCATCTAGCCAGCTATCTCACTTTTATAATCCTTTTGTCTTCATTGGCTCGCTGTCAGGAGAGAAGTTTGAAGATCACCTGCAGCCTCTTCATTCTTTTGAAAACACACTATTCAATGCTGAAATGCAAAAGGACATGCTTGCCAGCCAGGCAGCCTGGACTTCAGGACATTCTCCCTTCAATGACTCTCTGAAATTTGCAGGTTGATAAATTGGTGGTAATTATATGTTCTTAGATACAAAGTATTCTTCCTGTATGACCCCTTTCCTATTAAGGAAATAGTGATATTTTCTTAGTGATATCATGCTTCCCATGTATGATGTCTGAACCAACTGCAAAATAGCTAGCTGTGAACTAGCCTGCTCCATTTTCCACTCCTCCTCAGTGATGGGCAGTATCTCTCATACTGATGTGGAGTTTTCTAGCACATCAGTCTTTCCAGCTCTCCATACAATTGTTGTACAGCCCTCCAGACATGATAGTAGTACTGCAAGAAATGATTCAACTTGCACTTTATGTGAAAGAAAATATTTTGGCAGTAAAAACAAACTATGGCACATCCCTTACATCCTCCCCTGGCTACCTATGACATCATTTAAAGTAGTGCATTTTACTAGACATTTCTGCGTCACTGCCATTTCTTCCAACAGCAGGAAAACATATGGCCATATTATGACAGATGCAAATAAATCCTTGGGAAAAATTCTTCCACGGAAAACACTCAAAGAGGAAGGAACATTCAGTAACCTCTATGAATGACAGAGAAGCTACTTCTAAACTGAAGAAATAGGCATACATACTCCTGAACCAGTAAACTCCAGTCAGTCAAGAGTTCAAAGACAGTATCAAAAGGAGGTTTGCTTGTATACATTTGCTGGCACTTAATTCTGTCTCCACTGAACAATGTAGCTGAAATAGGAGAGGAGAGAGGAAAGGGGAGGAGGAAGCCAGAATGTGTCATGCTATTTAAATAAGTTAGAAGTGTTCTCTCCATACTTTCCCTCTGAAACCACGAGGCATATTTATAGCACTGCATAATAAATGTTTTTTATTTGATAGTTGCTGAATTGAGAAATAGTATCCAAGAATTGCTTACACAATGCAAAAGAGTTTCCTAATTCCTAGTCTTTGCATAGAATTAAACAAATTTGCCTAGATACATTCAGGATGAATGTGGTTTTCCTTCAAATATCCAGTTTTGGCCATGTCAGAACTAGGAAGCTTATCACACAAGTCAACCCTTTGATAACCTAATCTTGTTTTAGACAGGCTCCATTAGCAGCACACTCATTTTTAACTAACTACTCTCCTTCAACACTAAAATATTTCAGGCTGTTTTGTGGAATGTTCAGTTTAGACTTTATGAACGTCCATGAAGCCAAGTTGTTTTATCTACCTATCGAGATAGCTTGTTCATGCCTCCTCTGTGTTACAGAGGACACGAAGCTGACAGAAAGACAGGGTTCCCGATACAGATTGCCGGGATAAAACAAGTCTTGCACTGACTTAATTAACGTTCGTAACTGAACCACCTGAGATAGGTTGGAGCAGGCACTTCATGCCAAAACTTGTCAATAGAACTAGGAAGGAGGAGAACTGGGCCAATGTTTACTGCTACAAGGACAAATGAATCAGCAAGTCAAGAGGGCTCACAGAATAAATATGCAGACCAAAGCTTATATAAGAAGCTTGGAACGTGTCCAAAAACTCAGAATAAAGGAGCCACAAGAATATTGAAGGGATGGGATAGAGATAGGGCTCCTCTCTAAACAATTTTTTTTGTTATTTATTTATTCAGATGCAACTCTTCAGGCAGCTTAAATAAGATGTAGTTAGAAGACCAAATATAAAATATTACTCCACTGCAAAGGAGACCACAATATACCATACGACTGAAGATTTCTGGGACTTGTCAAATTCAATTACTAGGTAGAACATGGATTAGAAATAGGGAAATAAAGATCTGAAATTCTAGCATTTTAAAATTTCTTTCACATTTCAGCTATACTCAAGTAAGAAGTCACTCATGATCTATATTATCACTGGGTATTTTTAGTACCTGTAAACACAAATTAATACATTATCTTTGTTCTGGATCTAATCATTTAGCAGTGTGCTAACTCTGGATTTAATACCATGACAAGTTATGGCATCTTTTCCAGAAAATTATCTATTTCAAAACTTTGAGAAGAATTTGGAGAACATACACTCAATTCAGCGGTAGGAAATCTCTATCCAAGAGGATCAGAAAACATCAGAAACACTGATTATGTCCCTTGCAATACTACAGTAAATACTTCATCACATTATGCTGTACAATTCAACTACTTGAGATAGGCTTGTAGCTACAAGCCTATTGCAAAGACATCACTTGCTTCTCAGTCCTGGTCCTCTTAGTCAGTTGAGGCCCCCCCCCCCCCCCCCAAAAAAAAAAGGCTTATTAATCGAGTCTGTCCCACAAATCAACAATTACGAATGAATGAAGGGCTACACATAAAGTAAGAGCAAACTAATGCAAAGCAACTGAACTACAGATTAACCATTCCGTTTGAATTATCTTAAGTAGACTTAAGAAGCATTTCAATGCCAAAACAAGCAGATCTACAATGAAAATAGGATAATAAAATAAGAATCTAATCTAAAACAGTTGGTTTCACAGATGTTCGATTATTATCAGTCTACTCTTAGGCACATTAGGAAAAACTATTGAACAATATGAATAGCATAACAACAAAGAAAAGGACCACCTCTAAATCAAAGCTATGCACTGCTGCTTGAGCTCCCTGCTTTGTCATTCTGCTAGCTTGCTAGTAAATATGAAAGTCATAGCTTATGAAAAGTCTCAGCTTATCCAGATCACAAAACTGCAACTCTCTTGTGACATCAATTTGTTTCAGAGAACAGTGAAAGAAACCTCAGAAATATAATGGGGGGGGGGGAAGGACGTTTTATTGCTTCTATAGATCCTTGATTACAGGGAATCGGTTAATCTGAAGCACTCACACAGAATACCTTCAAGTATTTTTATAAACCCAGTTAAGATTTTCCTCTCAAAAAGAGAAAATCTGCTTCTGAAAACAAAATTGCTTTTTCTCTTTACTTTTTTTTCCAAATCACTTTCCCCGGAATCTGTATTAGCTTTCAACACTGTTATAAATTTAAATGTCGTAATGCACCTGCATTTCCAAGTGCATCATTTCTGTAATGCTATTAAGCATTGTCAACAGTATTTTTGCTATTAAAATGTACTTCCCTCCCAAAGTCAAGCATTTTGTGTGCGTAGTTGCAAATATCTGTGTGTGTATTCTCTCCACATTCTTGCATTGGGGCAAGAAGGGCGAAAAATGTGTTTGCTCAAAGGTCCTAATGAGGACCAGCACAATGATTCCTCCTCCACTGTATTAAGATTGAAATGTACTGTGGTCTATTAAAGATCTTCTTCAACATTTCAACTAGGCATACATTTACATTAAAAAAAAAAAGTCTACTACATTCTGGTTATAGTATCCTGTTAACTCTTCGAGAGGCACTAAGTGCATCTGCTGTTGAATGATGAGATAAAAAATAAGTTTAAACAAAAAGTTTAGTTTCATCTCTTGTTTAAAAAAAAAGGCTATCACAAACCAACATTAACCTTATGTAAATATAAAAATACATAAAACCAAGAAAGTACATGCTTGTAATTGGGAAAAATATACATTCATATTAACATCTCTCTAGATACAATAACAGCATTTAAGTTAGCTTACCCAAGGCAGAAGTATTTGTTTGAAATTATTTTTTGCACAGAAGTACCTGAACACATTGTCATAAAATGACTGCTCTACACATGTTACATAACATTCCAAGTAAACAACGCAGAAAATCATACCAGAAGCAATGGAAGACAGACTGTCTCTACACAAGTGCTCATATAGAAGAATATGAGCACATTAAAACCACAGATACATAGAATACTTTGTGATCCATGCGTGTGGAGCCTGCCCATGAGCAAGTGTGTATTTACCTACAATATAAATGCTAACTTGCAATCACTTTCCAGGGCACTTTTTGCCAGAAAGCAGCCACAATCATCAGTTTTTATGCACCTTCCCTACAAGCTACTGTAATATAGATTCAGCAATTAAAAAAAAAGTAAAGTTCTTACGTAAGGATAAGAGATTTCCTATTAGCACACTGAAGAGTAATTGGAACAACAATAAACAACAGAAACAAATGCACTCACAACATATCCCTCTCCTTATCTCCTTCAACACATCTGGATAGTCACTTACCCGAATCACTGCACCTCTTCCAATTCACACCATAGGAATCAATCAGTTTCTGAACTGGACCACAGAATCACCAGGATGCAGAATGGAGTTTATTAAACCATTCACATGGAACTGCAAAAAATAATTACAAAAATGTTTTCAGGATGATGGCTATCAGGGGTCTTATAGAAATGTAATACAGTTTGGAAGCCAGACATTAACATCAAATAGAACACAAAAACACAGAAGCTGTACTATAACTTACCACCACCACAAACATTCTACAATTATTCATTTTTGCCCTCTACCAAATCTCAAAAGCGATAAGAACACCAGAGACAGCGTGCCAAAACACAGAAAAGGTAGTATTATCATCTACTCCTTCTATACCAGCCAAAGCCAAAACATATGGCTTGCTAATAAGTTTGAGTTCAAACCAATGCCATCCATACAAATAACAGAAAGGGAATTGTCATGTCTGAGGTTAACAAAACGTAGTAAGTTTTTTGCAGGACTTAAACTAGGTAACTTGTTAAAGCGCTGCCATTCCAGTAAATCTGAAGCACATTCTCTGAAAGAATCTATACCACCCACACTGTGTCACAAATACTCCCACAGCCCTCATGGGGAAATACAACCCCTAGCAACAGATGAGGCTTTAAAAAAGCTGCAATTATTTTAATTGGACCTGCCAGCCACCTTTCATTTAGCTTAACACGAGTTTTTATTGAAAGTCCGCAGCCACAGCCATTGGCAAGAGTGGAGACAGTTGCTCACAAGTAGTTGGATCTATTTCTGAGAAGCTAATTCTGCCTGGAGAGCTTTTGTGGAGTATTGCCATGTACTCTATAAGTTGAGGATACAAAGTTTTATTATGTGGTCCTGGCTAGCATGCTGGAATAATACAGTAAGTCTAAAACGTATATGGAACACACCCATAACCTCGTCTTGATGACATTTGTTGGGGCCAGTTCAAATAAGGTGACAAAATATAGACAAAAGGGAGCACAGTGAATTACAGAAGAATAGTTTTGTCATCCGCTTTCAAAACAGCAAATATCCCACACCAAAAAAAAGTTCTTCAGGATATCAGATTCTGACTAATACACTGTTTTCACATAGCATTCTATGCATAGATGCAAAATGGGGAAATTTTAGGAATTATTTAACTAAGACTATGAGCAACAGAGTGATTGTTAAAATAACTGTTTTTGCCAATTCCAGAATACTCAGTGACTTAGCAAACCCTAGACTCTTCATACTGACATAATTGTTTAGCAGTTGTTTTGCATCTCAGCTACCATTTCCAAAAACACTGCTGGTATCAGCTGGCCAGGCTGCCGTGGCCAGGTTAGCTAGAGCCACTGAAGGATGCCAGGGTTCCACGACTGTACTACAACTTCTCTGGCTTGCTGGAGAACGAGAAATTTGGGTTGCTATCCCTTATGGCAGTGGCTCTGGAACTTTCCTTCTGAAATTTTCCTATTGCTTTGCCACCTATGGCCAAAAATTCTGTATGACTAAAAATACTAAGAGAAGCACAGGACTAAATCAAGTTTACATTCAGCTAGCAACTTCATTCATACACCCCATTTAGGAGCTGCTGCTCTATGATGTGAAAATTGAAATCGCTTGCTTTCTTTGGCTCTAAACTAACAAGAGCAGAATGAATTTCTACTCCCCTGCATTCTGTCTCGTCCACAGAAGGTTAAACTTCCACTTGAACTTGAGATTACAATGGCATCCTTATAGGCAGATAGACACGCCAACTCCTTCAGAGCACGTGTTCCAACTTGGGACAGCCTCTAACAAGTCTTAATTCTGTGGCAGCCTCCTTTAGTGCTTTAGTCATGGACCCCTTCACTATACCCCCAGGTGGCAAGAAAACAGGAACTGGAAAACTGTATAAACAATGAGCAATGCATAGATTGTTACATGAAAGATTCTTTCTGAACACATAAATATACTTAGATAATAAAGATCAACACCATCCTAAAAGAAAAATGTCCAAAGAGTTGTTACACAAGCTAAGGCACTAATTTAATTCCACTGTCAAATGCAATATATTTCCTGTGACTGTTAACCACCTTCTTGTTACCATACCAAAAAAAAAAAAGATTTAATTTTAAACACACACACCCCCAACTGTGACTTCTTGACACATACGCTGGTATACATGCTACAAGAGCTCTCAGTGCTAAGCTAGTCCCCAAAAGGAGAAGGAGGAGGGAAATAAGCATTTTATACACCTTTAAATTATCTAATTAACTTTTTCCTCACAACATGGTTATATGATAAATTTTAAGTAGAACTAAGCTACAACTTAATCTTCGGTTTTTCACTTTCACATACTCTTCTTTTTAAATTAACACACATCCTGCCTAATTAACACCAAGAACAGATTCCAACTCAAAGCCCTGATAGGCAGGTAACCCTTTAAAAAAGCATTCATACTACATTTGAGCTGTAAGTTCTTATTTCAGAAGAGTTATGGACAACTAGGACTTTTCAGAACCAGATCTGTGCTGTTAAATGCACAATATCATCCCTTGCAAGCAACATCTGATAGAGAACAAGTACTTTTGTGGCTCTAAAGTCAAGTAGTGGAGAAAAATCCAAGTTGATTTTTCTCCACTACCATGCTTTTGAAAGTCAGGCTCCATTTGAGAAAAGTTGCAAATTAAAACAGAAGAAACTGTTTTTATTGTACATGGTTTATAGTATTAGGTATCTGGAAAAAGCAAGATTTTTTTTTTAATCTTAAAATACATATTTTCCCCCTTTTTTAAGGTAGGGGTGGGTGGGTAGGCATAAACACAAAGAAGTGTCCATCTCATACTCTAAACATACAGCAGAAAAAATAAATGCAAAAATATATTTATGTCACTGCCTTTCACAAACCTTTTCTACCCAATGTTTTAAGATATGACACATATACACTGAACCTTTGCTAGAATCCAGTTTCTCATGGGTAATAGCACTCTGCATCTTCCTCCCAAGAAGACAAGACTGTCTACTGCGTCCAAACAAAAGAATGAAGAGAATTTCTACTTCATGTTTGAAGTGAAAAAGCCAGAGAGAAGACAACTTGAAAAAACAGGAAAGTCTGAATGCTGTTCATAGTATTTAAGTCAAATATTCACTATTGGGGGAAAAAAATACATACAGGAAGTTACATCAAAAGACACACATGCCCCCAGGTTCAGAGTCGATTCCAGTTTACCATGTTCTAGATTCTTATTATACAGATACTGTCAGCTTACAAATGAAGTGTACACATGAAGGAAGCGTACATGCAATTGTTTCATGTTTGTTTGCAAGATCAACAGACACTTCATTTTTTATTTCCTAAATAGACTAGGAATGCATTTAAGAGGAAACCTAGTACATTTTGACTTAGGGTGGGGGAGGAGGGAGAAAGACACACTCAGCATCACATTATCTTTGTTTCCACAATATAAAGTTTCAGTTCTAGAGAATTTAATATCATTAACTAGTTCCTCTGAAGCATGCAGAACTCCTCCATTAGAAAACTACCTTAAGGAAAGAATTAACTGCCTCCAAATCCTGCTTAGGTCAATTCTTGTACTATGCAGTTTTGAAAGAAAAATACACACATTCGGTATGTTCTCCAATGTACCACTCAATTATTTAGGGCTTGATTTAATATTTTCTGAGGACTGTGTTGCCATCCTTGCATCCCAAGAAAAATTCTCTTCAACAACCACTGTATTTCCTCTGATGTGCAACATGCAATAGACTTAACAATCAATAACAGGATAAGCAGTCATTTTATAGATTAAAGAGAAAGACATACAAATAGAGAAAATGAGGGCAGGGGGCAGAAATTCTAAACAACTGGCATAAGAAATAGCTTCTTATCTCCTTGAGGGCATTTTCAAGAATATCCCCTTGACACACTACTACTTCAATAAGCAGGCATCTTCCAACAAAGCTTCTCTTGCAGAAGTTGTTGCTGTTAACATTAGTATGACTGAAGAAGGAAAAACTCTGCACAACTCAACTCAAATGCTTCTCGTGCAGTGGCTCTAAGAAATACTTTGCAGGGAACAGCAATGTAAACTCACATCTCAAGAAAAGAATTTTACATGAGATTACAGAAACTTGGGAGGGGACAACAACTTATTAGTGCTTTTCCAAGTACAGATATCTTGGCAAAAAAAATAAAAAAACAAAAAACCACTCGTTCCCACTCTAATCTCTTCAGAGAGTAAAAGAAGGAAGCAGAGTATTAGAGAGTCTTAAAAAAACTAGTATCAAAACAGAGAAAGTCTGTTTCTGTCTACAGTGCTTATGCCAATCAACACTACCTCCTCTTCTGCACAGGCTTGATGCTTTGGGGAAAAAAAAGCCACAGATGGGAAAAAGATCAGAAGGACTGTTACCTGCACTTCTTGGGTGCAGACAGCCGAGCAAGACTGCTGTCGCCTACGCTACCACACTTCAGAGTCACAGGGCACCTTTAAATCAGGGCTGCAACCTTTCCAGAAGATTTTAGAGTTACAAAAATGCAATGCCTTTTATTTACCCAGTTCCCTAAACTATGTTGCACCTTCAGTCTCAGTTAATTAGTATGGATATACATTGTTCATCAGAGATGAAAAGGTAAAGTAAAAAGTATCAGTGACAAACCTGTCTAGCAGCATCATTCTTCTGTAAGTGATAGCGCATAACATATGAACTTGCTTACTAATCATACCAGCTGTCTATCACCTCTTAGTTCTCTGTTCACACTAGCCTTAAGGTCCAGCTTGAAAGCAAAGCATCCCACATTCAAACTCTGTGTGAACTACACGTTTTGGTCAATAAACCCTCCAGATGATGAAAAATACCAACCCACCTGGAATCCCTAGGAAGTAAAGAAACTAGGTATGAAAGTCTCAGAGCAAGCGGAAGGTAGCCTTCAGGAAAAAAGGATTTGATGTCTCACAGCAATGAGGGACTGAACAGCTCTTCATTCCTCTTCTGCTTTGTGTTTTCCAAGCTTCAGTTCTTACCAAAGTTAATTATTTCCCATCATCACAGTAATTACAGCATATTTTAAAGAAGATCAAACATTGTTATTTGTCAAAATATTCTGGAAATTGACTAAATAAGATATATTTCAGACC